CCATCAAAGCGACAGTTGGTACTTTAAGGTTAAGCATTAAGGAGGAACAAGGGGGAGTAAAAGATAGGAAAAGTGAGATAAAGCCATATGCTAAATGGCTATTTTTACACTCAGGGACATGGTCCAACTCTGTGACAGGAGCCGCTGGGCTCTATTGTACCTCCATAGTCCACAGGAACACACACCTGCTGCTGTTCTCAGAATAATTATACACACTGTTTGAGCTGCCCTCTCAGAGCTCCCTATCCAGGAGAGAAGCCACATTTCTTTAGTGACCCTAGATAAGATAAGAATGTAATTCTTAGAAGAGATGCTCTGCAATGCGGTGGATTGTTTAAAATGGAAACTGAAAGGATATATTAATAAAATAATTCCCTTATTTTGATCTTAAGTAGATAAATTGGTTACATTAGCATATTTTTCAACGTGCAAATAGACTCCTTCATGCAGGTGAAGTCGTAAATCCAAACAATAGTACTCTGTAAGGTTTAGGGAAAATATGGTTTGGGTCAATTCACTTTTTATAATTGACGAACAGCAGTGTCCTGGTTCAAAGTCCAGTGTGTGTAAGTTTCACACAACAGATATCGGTTTATTAGCTGGTTTGAAAAGATGAACTAGTGTAGCCTCTCTATCAATGAATGCCAATGACCCTGCATTTAGACCCGGTCCATTAGTTTCACTTAACCCTAAGGAAGCAGAGTTGACATCTGATAACGAGTGCCGCCCCCTCGGTTTCTTTAGCAGCCCCCCCCCCCCAGGGGATCACGCTCTTGCCAGCTGTCTGTCAGAGGTAGCTTCAGCGTGAGATCAGAGCCTTTCAACATGACTGTTCATCTATCAGCTCCTCTGTGAACACCCTGCCATTACTGCTGATGGTAATATGGCTGGAGATTACGCTTTGAAGGACATATGCACAGAAAATCTGTTTGTTGCATCAAGTTGCCTATTTTGGTAAACTATGTGGCATTAGGTGCTCGCATCTCACATCACCTCACTATGCCAATAAAGGTTTTCTTTGCTCAGTGAGACTTTTCTCATATCAGTCAGACAACTCACGTGTTTCTTTAACATGTTTATTAGAAGCAGCATATAGTTGAGTTTGGCGACTAGGCTCGGGCATCATCACTCCACAGATATACATAGCACGATGAGTGATGATTAAATAACTAACCCCCCGAGCCTACAGGTGGATGCTGGGATGGAAGCTGGGGTGATGGTGGGGCAGGCAAGCAGCAGCAACATGAAACACAGCAGCGGTAGCAATGTGAACGCAATAGCAGGGCACGAACGCAGCAGCAGCAGCAAGCAATGCATGGAGAGAGATCTGGCAGGTTAGAGCGGCATATTAAGGAGACTCTGTTTGGTTGGTTGTAGAGTGGCAAGGGGCGTTATGTATGAATGCAGTATAAGTGCTTGAGTTGACTGCCTGAACTAGCTCGCAGGCTTCGCCCCATTTAATGATGCATTCTGCAACACATGCAAGAAATATCCAAATTAAAATGGCAATTTTATCAAGGAAATTCAATTGCATCTATGTTTTTGAGGTTTTAGCGAATTAAACAATAAACAAAATATTAATTAAAGGGCTGAATGTTTCTGTTTTTTTAATATGCATTATTTCAATAGCTTTATGAAAAAATAACCTACTATGTTTCCTGTTATAGGACCTTTAACCTTTGTGGTGACATCTTTGACAAAGGCCTAATTGATGCTCCCTCTATTAAAACCATGAATACTTGACTGTGACAAATAATGAAACATCTACACAGGATGGAAGGAATGTACTGCATGATGTGAGCCAAATGACCTTCATGTGTAGTAATTGACTTCACATGAACAGGAAAGCAAACCCAGTATCTGGACAATTACTGTGTATTACAAACATAAACAAGCCGTTATATAAAAAGGCCTCCCATCACATTTAAACTATTTAACAATTACGTATGCTGCAGTGCACTGATCTCATTGTCTGGCATGGAAAATATGACCGTGCCAAATGCCAGTTGAATGGCCAGACTCAGAGAGTGTGACCAGACTCTGAAAACAAGTGTTTCTCTGAGGGACCAGAGGCCAGGCCGCGGCTGATCCAAACGCACGCATCTCACCTGTCTATCACCATTGCCAGGCTGCCTTTTTATTTTTGTGGAACCTTTTCACGTCATCACTGATGGTTCTCAACAGTTTTCATGGTTCAAAATTGTGCAGCAGAGGTTTTGTTCAACCTCGAATGACTCTGAATACTAGTTCATCTCTGCAGCAGTATGTCCCACTGGTAACATTTACATATCCATCTAATGTTTACAAACACCTTGACAACATGGGAAGTTATGTTTTTTTATGTGGCTCAAACTGTTGCTGTTTGCAACCACATAACACGTGCTCTGGGTTAATCCAGGCTAGAGTTTGTTTTTGTAACCTGTTCCAAAACCAGACCACAATATAATTATCTCCACTATACATCCCGTGTTTACATTACATAATCTCTCTCGTCAAATATTAACAGAAAACAGATAAAAGTGCTCTGTGCGTGAATGTGACTAGATAGTGTGCAGAAAATGTGGAGATAGTTGATACATTGGGAAAAGGGATTATATTATCTTTGTATATTATTATGCCATGTTTAAATACTTCATGAGGGTATGTGAATCTTTGTTATAATTGTGGTAATTTAGCTTTGTGTCACACTGTGTTGGCTTTAACTCACTGCTTCCCTCTATTGGATGGTCTGGAGACTGCTACCCACACACACACACACACACACACACACACACACACACACACACACACACACACACACACACACACACACACACACACACACACACACACACACACACACACACACACACACACACACACACACACACACACACTTCTCCATATTACACTAATACTGCATGGCTTTTGCTATTTTTAGGCAGAACTCTCTTGCATAATAAAATAGACTTAATGTTTTTTTTTTCATTTTGAGCCCTGAGGTTCTGTTTAGAATTAAGACATGTTTCAGTTGTTTGTATTAGCTGATCAGACATTTCTGTTTATATTGAGTATGGATTGACTCCAGAATAAAGAATAAATAAGCTACCACAATTAACTCAAAAGTCAATTAGGGTCTATAAATGGGGCAGTGGGCTAATTCAGATGCTGTTATTTATACTGTAACATCTAATTGGGGGAAAATAAGCGGGCATTGGGAGGATCATTGGGGGGAGGGGTACATCCTGGTCTTGGCTAAACAGAACGCTATCGCACATGACACAATCATTTTCTTACTTATCTTGTGTAATCAACAGGACAAAAGTCACAGTATACATTCTTTTTATCCTTCATTCTGTGAACTTTTGCACATTAGTTAGATAATACTCAAATAATTTTGCACGTTTCCGCAGAGCCTTCTTCATTTGAATTCAGATACATGGGGAAAAGTGATATACTATAATAATATGTTTATGTTTTATTTTGTTCTATTCTTAGATTATGTGATTTGATTTTTGGAATATTTTACTTTCTTTTGTACATTTATTGGCATTTCTTCTTTCTAACACAACACAACATATACAAATGTGTATCCCTCAGCACCCGTAATCATCCTCGTCCCACAATAATTTCCTCTCACTCTATTCATAACTTCACTAAAAATAACAATAAAAAAAGCTAAATAAATATCATTTGAAAAAGTGTTCCAATGAAACAGTTAACAGTCATGGTTTAATAAATGCATCTATATTAAGTAAATATGTTTGTATGCACCATCAAATTACTTGATATATTTTTGCCATGTTCCAACAGCTGCTAAAGCAAACGACTTAGAAAATTGTGTAGGTGGAGAAAGTTGATCTGCTGACACAGTGCACTAATGATGGGATAACATGGCAAGGATTTAAAAAAGCAATAAGCCTAACACAATGACATGATATGATGTGTGTTAACAATGGATGACAAGTGTGTATAACAACATTTGAGGGTCAATTCTGTTTAGATCTATGCGCCTGCTCTGCAGAGTTTATTGACACATGTAGAAGGTCCTTCAACTTTTATATGTGCAAAGTTCATGTTAAAACTAAATGTGTGTGTGTGTGGTGGGGGGGGTTTGTGTGTGGGTTTGCGTGTGTTTTGCAAGAAGAAGCACAAGGCTTTATTGAAGGATTTACTGCAGCAGCAGTGGTCTATGCCTCGTTTTCATTTGTGTTGTGCAGTCAGTGCAGGCTCAAATAATTGATTTGTTAGTGAAGAGTCCAATAATTCCCCAGACTGAGTGTTAATATACCTTAAGCCTATATAGTTGGAAAACTATAACATTTCCCCATTCATTCTGAGAATGCTGACAGCTTTTAATGCCTTTTGAGTAGATTGGTCAATTGAATCCTTTGTAAACACATTAATCTGACCACCTGGTACAACAGTCCACATTCCATTCGTGCTTCAAAACATTTAAGATTCAGCTGAGTATGGATATCACTAACACATTCATTGATTAGTACAGCTTGGGATTTTAGTGGTGACCACATGGACCAAACTCAATCAATAAATTGAATCATTATGGTAGGCTACTCTCAGAAGCTACCAACATTATCAGAGCCCAAATATATATTATACAAATACACTGCAGAAATCCCACACACATACACACACATAGCCCCCTCACTCTGCTCAGTCAATACATCATATCATTTATAAATCATATAGCTCAAACAAACATAGACAGAGCCTACAAAGAATATAACAACCTAAAGTCTATCCTTCTGTGGACAGAAACCTGCCAAGTTGTGAAGTGCACACACACACACACACACACACACACACACACACACACACACACACACACACACACACACACACACACACACACACACACACACACACACACACGCACACACACACACACACACACACACACACACACACACACACACACACACACACACACACACACACACACACCAGGTCCTGGTTTTGGTACCCCCTCCCTGTTACGTCACAAGTGTAAGAAACGCAAGTTAGCATCCGTGCGGCTCGCGCTCACTCAGCCAACCGATTACTTTTTTTAAATTTTCAATTCACTATCTATAATTATCCCAGAAGCAGTTAACGCTGACGGGAGAGAGGACTTCTCTCCGAAGCTGAAGTCATGCGGTAATTTATTTTGAAAGTTGGAATACAGCGGAGTCTCTTGAACTGAGAGGAATATTGTGTGCCAGATGCTGCCCAGAAGATGAGCAGCAGCGAAGTACAGATCGGGGAAATCAGCGGAATCCCGGGCTGTCAACGGTAATTAGTTTCTGTTTATTTCGTCTAGTTTCATGATATTTCCACGTGTGCCTTGAGGGAGCAGAAATATCACTTACTTTGATACACATTATACGTTTTCAAGTCATACAATGGACAAGTCTACTAGGGAGAGTGCAAATATAATTTAGTTCGAAAAGCAATTTTAACGACCCATACATCTATTTATAAAAGCCTCAACAGCTAAAACATATTGGTCACTGTCGGCTGGTGATTCTGTCGTGAGGTGCATGTTTGGACAATCACATTTCTGAAATTCTCTGTTCACCAATCCAGCAAAGCAGTTTTCCCTAACTTGTGGATTTTATATAAAGAAATTGTGGTTTGCACGCAAGAGTTTTGACTGGGCTTTAATCACCAGTTCACTTCAACATCTCTAAAATTATTTTAAATGCAAGATTAGTTATTGCTGCACAAGTGACATATATTATTTTATTAAACAAAAGTCTTTGGACGTATTTGAAACCTTTTTTTTTTTCCAATGAGAATCAAAAAAATCTAACAGAAAAGCTTGCAAATGTATAGAAGGTAGGGTATATTTTTTTATTAGAGGCAAACTTTACATTAAACTCATATTGAGGTTTAATTGTGTCTTTTTTGCATTGATTTCTGTGGAAATGCAATATTCATTTATTTATTTTTAATTTAAAAAAGGGACCAAAACAACACGCTTCATTCTATCAGTTTAATACTTGGACTGGATGCATTATACCAACATAATAGTTGTTTTGTTATTTGTGTACTGTTTGTTGAAATGCTGTGATGCATTCTACAGATCAATCAAAACGAAAATAATGGACTTCTGGAATGTAACATTATTAAGGACCAAAACAAATATTGTTTGGAATAACAAATAAACAATTCAAATAATTGCAATACGTATGCAGAATTGTGAAAACATATTCAAGAAATGTGTGACATGACATGTTTACATTTATACATTTGTTTTACAATGGACTTGGCAGGCAAATTAACCATTGGGATCTGATTCAGTACATCGGCAGACTGAACACTTCAGTGCTTTCCTGTGTACACTTTATATAAACAGAATGCATATTAACTTAATTGTTAGTGGAGATAATTGTCTTGGAGTGATGTTGATCCTAATTAGACTCACTTGGGCAGCGTATTGAGAGAACAGCCTGTCTCAGTCCCTTGTGCATCTTGTATTCCACTGCAGTGTTGATGATAAATACATTGTTAGGCAAACACCTTTCACACATTACTACACAAACATATTCATTACTACCCTTAACACATCTGTCGCAGGATATAAGAGATGTGCACTCCTTGCTAAAGCATCATCCCTAGATGCACTTCATGAATGAGCGCTGCCTCGCTGTATGTCGTCTTTAATACTAATTTGCAATCATTAGCAGGTGGTGCAGGTGCTTTAATGCATACGAAATACACATTAATGCAATTTTTTAATGCATTAGGCAATGTTCTTCTTTCTAAGTGCTATACTACAATCATCAGTGTGAACTTTTCTCAGTCGCGGTTTCCATTATGTATGTGGAGAAAAATGCAGGATGATCAATTAGGGGTGAGGGGTTGCATTTGTCACATATACATTTGGCCCTCATATACATGCCGCACATCGTGTTTTTGAAAAGCTGGCCAGCTAAATGAATAAGAATGTGATTTGCGTTATGGGGCTAGAATTAAAAACAGTGAGTGCTTTCTGATCTTTCACCCTTTAGATTGCTCTGTGAGTACTGTATGCATCTGAGACTGTTCAGCTCCAGCCTCTGGAGGTCTATTGCACTGGATTTATGGGACAAAAGCACATACATCCTAAATCCCTAACTGTGACTTTTTGCCTTTAAAAGTATCATTGGTATCTTGTAGTGTGAGCTCTGCTGCGATTTTGTCATGAGGTCGAACATTTCTGTACACGAAAACAGTCAACGTTGCTTTTCATAATGGTTACTTTTAATGTTGTTGTATGTATCATGTTTGTTGTAGAGCGAGGCTTTGTGGTCTCAAGTACATTATTTATTATCTCAACTGAGATGAGTGAAAACAGGTGGGTATAGTTTACTCCTATATGTCCTACATGAGGACAGGGTGTCCTTAAAGTTTAACTGTCTTAATAAGTCTTTTAATCATTGAGCCTTTTTGACTTTTCAGGACTTTGTGTAGACATTAGTGTTAAAACCTTAAACAATCACAGTGAAATAATCATGGAAATATATAAACATAATTATATAAAGAACATTTGTTTTGGAGTCAAATGAAAAAGTCTTACCAAGCAGGTACATTTGTGTAACTTAAAAGACTGAGGAGACTGTGTGAAGATGATTGTGTTGGTAAGGGGGGCTAAACCTTGTGTTTCACATTGCAAAAAAGCAAGACTCCCAAGGGTTTCACATGTTTTCCAAATGAAATATTCATTTAGCTTTCAGCAAACAGAAATAATGCAAAACCCTCCACCTCTTATGATCCGCTCTCCTCTTTAATAATGTTCATACAACAGTGCCTTATACAAGATACAATAAGAAGCAGATGGAGATATTTCCATACTTAAACTACAGCCTTTGAATGCAGATCCAGGTCAGACACACATATATCACAGATCTGTCTCCAAAGCACTTTAGGGCTTTCCTTCCTCACAAACATGTGCTTGTCTTGAACGTTTCTGAACTTTAACTCACTGAGTCTAGTACTCAGGCTGCAGAGACAAGAGCTATCCTATCTGTAAACATTCAGCTTATTTTCTGCCCTGGTAACTGTGGCTGTGAGAAATATGGTAATGGCATTAATTGAGAAAAAAATCAAAGATGGTTTGACTTATGGCAGAGATCAATGAATTCTCTAGACTTAAGTTTACGGTACATCTTCACAGTTGATTGCCTCTGTTAGACTGTCAAGTATTTCAAATCGAAAAGAAGGAAGAAATGTTTTTGTCTAACACTAGAAAATGCATTTGGTCGGTCCATAATGGCGTATTGATGGAAATAATGGAATGCTGCAAATTTGAGGTTAAATAGAAGTCAAGGACATTTAGAGCTGGTGCTTGGGAAAGGAAGATAGGGCAAACAACATCTCCTAAGTAGCTTATGACAAGATGAGAGTGAATGAAAGTTGTATAAATGAGAAGAGAGATACACAATGCCTTTGCCTATTTATTGCGTCTGCTTTTTCTTTGGTGCAGAAAATAGAGCTAAGAAAGAAACATATAGAAAGATTGAAACAATTATGGCGCGACAAAGAGACAATCTGAGGGGTCAAACAAAAGAGACCAAAGAGAGATACGATCAGGGATCCTTAGCTGCCTGGAGGCCTGTGGTGTTGCGGAGGACAGTTGTGAGGGGGCTAATGAGTATTAGCAGAGGTCTGGAGACTATGGACTTTCCTGTGCTGCTCCACAGGCTCCGGTTCAAACGGACTCCGGTGATGAATCCAGGAGGGCTAAAATTAGCTTCTACTACAAAGAGCTGTCACTCTGGATTGTGACAGAGTGGCGCTAAGGGTCGGTCTGGATACTGCCGCTGGGCTCCACTTAGCCCTGTGTGCCATCCAGCTCTTAACACCTTGGTCTGTAAACACGTAGATTTAAACACACTAATGCCTTGTTTTCCACTGCATGGTACAACTCTCCCAGTAGCCTTTCTCTGTTTCCTTCTCCAATGCAAAGCTGTGAAATCATTTCAACAGAGGACTGCCTGCCCTTTATCAATTGTATGGTGGAGTGTACGTTGTGTCAGGTGTAGTTTCTGGGTCGAATAAATGTTTTTAAAAGTTGCGGTCGCTAATGATGGTAAATATTTGTGCTAGAAGTTAGTGAATGTTTTCTAAATGCTGTATATGTGTTGTCAAGTTGGTGAAAATGATGTTGCTTCATTTTAATGTGTTTTGTCACATTTGTGTTTGCATCATTTTTTAAACTGCATAATTGTCTTCTTATGCAAATGTGTTTGGCTGCTGTAACACATTTGCACCTGTCGAGCACCGTACTTTACAGATTAGATCAGCCTGCATGAAACTAAGGTGGTAATAAAACAAACCTGGCACCAGGTAATACTAAGCTGTATCATGCAGTGGAAATGCAGATAAAAGCCAATATTATTATTATCATCAGGTGAGTACATTTTGTTTTTGAAGACATGCAATATAAAACATCCCTTTGAAGATGATGCTTCTCTCTTCAATTCATTTCACCCATGTCTTAAAACCAACAACATGTGCAGTCTTTCTTTCCCTCATTCTCTCGGAAACGTGACACACACACACACACACACACACACACACACACACACACACACACACACACACACACACACACACACACACACACACACACACACACCACACACACACACACACACACACACACACACACACACACACACTGTATATGTACTGGTACACAGTGTTTATATACACACTTGAATGGGAAGGACCAGAACCAATCCCTTCCTGTTGGCGGCAGGACAGTTGCTTCGAGCCACGATTTGATTGGTGATTTTGGTGTACTGTTCAACTTTCAGGCATGTGCTGGATTAAACGGATAAGTTACAGGTTTATTAAATCTCCCCAAGTACAACCAGCAGTGTGCCAGTCTCAGAACAACTGTCAGCTCCTTTAATGAAACCTCTCCACTTCTCTAGGGAAGAATGAAATTAGTTTATAGAGCAATAAAAAGACACACTTGCTATAGCAACGTCAAACCACTCGTGAACATGGAGGACACACAAAGTGGTTTCCTTACAACATTGTCGGGATTTTAAGAGATGTTTTTCTTTCTATAACCATTAGGCTGAACATGTTATAGAGGCTCAACACGGAGCAGATTGTGCTCTAACGGGCTCGGTGGTCTCTGAGTAGCTTCTGTTGTCTATCCTCCATGTTCTCAGATATCAGATATAATGGACAACACATTCCATCACTTACTTTGGTCTGGGTGGCTGCCAACAGCTTCCTTTCCTGCCCCTGCGAGCACATCCAGACAATGTTTGGTAGTTTGCCTGCTCTTCAGT